TTCTCAAGGTCATACAAGAAGTGACAGACCCAGGCTGACCCTATCATGATTCCTAGGGAAAAGCCCACTGCTCCTCCAGCTTTGCACCTTGCCAACCCACAGAAGACATAAGACAAATGGCCTAGAATATAGTTACAGAAAAGGAGCGATTGCTGTGTCTGAAATTCCCTGAAATATATCTGTGAATGTACGAGATGGACAGACGAAGGTCACCATCATGGGAATGTGACCTGAGCACAGGACCCCCCTACAAAGGATCTTAACATTCGTTCATTGCTCATCTGTTGCCATTTTGAACTTCTTGATATTTTTTTGAGCCAGAAGCTTGCATTTTATTTTGTGGTGGGTCACACAAATTATTCACAATAAAAGTGAAGTTCAATCTCTTTTAGTTTTATTTTTATTTTCTGGGAAGATGAATAAGTCCTTAGTTGTTACTCTTTCTTGCAAAGACAAAATTAGAGTGGGTCCATATTTCCTAACTCAATCAGAACTAGTTTCCCAAGTCAGTTATTTCAAGGTGTCCTCAGGGAGGATGGGAATAGATAGCATTTCACTATATGTCCCCTTCTGCAGTTACAGCCAGGGGTGTCTTTTTTTATGCCATCACTATATTTTCCCAGTCAACACAATCACATAACTTATCAAAAGATTGTTATTTTTCTAATTCAAGATACAACAAAAACAGCAAGAAATTAGTTAAAATGGCAAAGCACTGCTATTCTGCTATGTTTTGATACTCTATAGTCATATATTAAATTACTTTGATATTCATGTTTCTTCAGGGAACAGGTAAAGGGTGAGAATTACTGCATTTTTCCTGAGGGTACATGGCAGGACTGGTTTAATAATTTTTCCTTTCTTTTTTAAAATGTGTTCACCATGTAATTTTCTTCATTCTCCCCACTCTAATTTATATATGTAAATTAATTCCAGACATACTAAAGTCACCTATTTTTGAATTGATAAATGGAAACCAACATGTATAGCAATTTGTAAAAGGGTAAGAAGGGGCCTTCCTGGTGATGCAGGGGTTAAAGTCTCAGTGCTATCAAGCTATCACCAGCCCCTGCAGCACAAGTTGGATCCCTGGCCAGGAAGCTAACCTACAAAGTGCAGTAGACCTCTCCTGTCTTGTCTGCTGCTCCCCTCAGCAGTATATTTCAGTAAATCCACCTGTTCTACTCCCCACCCTGTCTCTGGTGAATCCTCTCACCACTGCACCTCTGGTCTACACCCCCAGTTCTTGTATGCATAAATAAATCTTTTTTTTTAAAAAAAAGGGTGAGAACATGTGGAAAATTTGGAAAAAGTGAGAAAAGTGTAGTAAGAAAAGATTTTCCCTAAGAGATAAAAATACATCATAAATCTGTTTCACAATCAGGGCCAATGGAACATGAAAATGTGAGATTCCTTGCTGAACAAGTAATAAGTGACAGCAGCACATCAAACCATACGCAGTTCCCTCTGAGCTTAGTCTATACACTGTGTGGGTCCCCTGGTCATGAACCCACCTGATCCAGAGTTTCAGAGATGGAAGGACCACTGTACCATCTGCTACCGTAGCCTGTATGAAGGTGGTGGGGTCCCTCTGGAAGAGTAAAACTGTAGAAGGTGAAGCAGTTATACCCATCCGAGGACTCTCAGAAGAGGCTGGGCTTATCCTTGTGGACATTAGGAAGTCTGGATCTGGTCCCTAAGTGTCCTTGTGGTAGGGGTGAGAATGGAGTTGTACCTTCCTGTACCAGATTCTTGTGACTTAGCTCAATCTCATTGGGAAGAATAAGATGCTCATAATTCCTTTCTCCAATTTATGTCCCTATTATTTGAGAAATAAAAGCTATTGAGAAATAGCTTTTCACAGAGTTCTTTAGTCTTCCAAAAATTTCTATTTGCTGTATTTTAAACAAGGTGTTGAGAGCAACAGTTTGTATATAGTATAATTTACCTGGTATGCTTTATATTGTGCAGATATGATCTTAGCCTGGGTCCATGGGGATGCTGTGTTTTCACTTGCTCACCATTCTGATGGCTCTAGAGGGTTCTGCTCCATCTCTGAGGCATGGGTTTAACCAGGCCCCACGTTTGCTCTTGCAGGTTGGTTTTCACATTCCACAGGGAGTGATCTGGGAGAGGAAAAACTCTTAAATGAAGAGGAACATCTGAGAAGTGCTGAGTATGAAGAAAGTACAGTGTCATTTGAAGAAAAAATATGCCTCTATTGAAACTCTTGTTAGGTTTTGGTCTGGAATGGAGGTTCAGAAAATGTCATTGTCTATGTTCAAATAAGGTAATGCTGATTTATATTCCCTTCTTATGAAAATTATCCAGTAATAAATACTTTCAGACCAGTTTTGTGTTATTGAAAAATCTCTGTGAACTTCTACTTTAAGACCATTTTTATAGTGTTCATATTCTAGTCAATTTAACCAAAATATATACTTTCTCCTCCAGCATGAAACCCTAAGTGAGGGAGCTAAGGTCAGACTGAGGAGATGTTGATCAAGGTCCAGAGTTGAGATTTGTCTCCTTCCAACAAGACACCACAGTAAAAACATTTGAATATCCTAAAAAATGTTCTGTGGATATTTCATCTTTTCTTACTTAATTTTGGCTCTGCCCCTTATAGACACTGGAAACTGATTTTATGGAGGTGTGGAAGAACTCTTTTTGTAAAAATAAATTATGAAACTTCTGACAAGCATGGTCAGAAGAGGGGCATCCAGAAGTCATTTGGGAGGAGAATGTTTTTATGTTAACTTTGTAACATGGGCTGAGAAGATTCTTAAACCTTATTTCCAAACCCAATTCTGTCTTTTCATGGTTGAGTTACTGGTCATAGCACATGTGTGCTGTGTGGTTAATTAAAATTAAGATGATTCCTTATATTCTCAAGTACAGTGATCTTTAAAAATGCAAATCAATTCAAATTACTCCATAGTATGGTTAGATTTTCACTGGAAAAATAATTTCCTGTCCTCACTTCCTTTGATTATAGAAAAAGAAATTATGGATTTCTTGGTGGGTAAAGGAGTGTTAGCTTCTATATCAGGGTCAGGATTAGTGGTGATTCATTAGGAGTTGGGCCCTTCTTGCTCCTTTGGTATTGTCGCTGTGGTGAACATGGATAATTTTCTAGTTCATATCCTAGAAGACATTGGTGGACAACATCTTGGAAAATAATTCTATTATAAATACTTATACTCTCTGTAAAGTTACTCTTTATTGCACTATATCTGAATTATTTGTTTTGAAGCAATGAAATAACCTGTTAGCTACAAGCCAGGGGTACAGAGAAGTCAATGGGTAGCCCTTACGTATAAAAAGTGCTTATTAAATTCCATCCAAATATGAGATTCTTTATTTCTGACCTGCTTTGTTAGGGTTAATAGGATTACATATTGCACAAAGTAAGATCAGACTTGCTAATACTCTGAAATTCCTAGGGAAAATCATTGAAATTCACACATCTATTAGGAAAAATATACCACCTACCTATAACATTGTTCAGTTCTCAAGTCTTTTGAATAATATGCAATAAGCTATATATGTTGTATTTACTTATTTACTTTAAAAAATATAGTATTATGTTCATTTTTTTTATACTTTTAAAGAAAATTTTTTTAAAGATTAATTTTTTTTTTTTTATACAAGAGCTGGGGCACAGGCCAGAGGTGTTGGGGGGTGCGGTGAGAGGATTCACCAGAGACAGAGCAGGGAACAGTACAGGCAGACGACCGAAATACACTGCTGAAGGGAGCAGCGGGCAAGACAGGAGAGGTCTGCTGCGCCATGTGGGATTCTCACTGGCCGGCTAGGATCGAACCCGCACTTCAGAGGCTGCGGATAGCTTCACAGTGCTGCGCTCAACTCGCTGTGCCACCAGAAAGGCCCTATGTTCATTTATTTTAAAAATTATAGTATTATGAGGTAATGTTGGTTTACAGCATTGTTTATGTTTTAGGTGATCAGCTCACAGTTCTTCAAATGTTTGGTAACATATCACCTCCCATAAATCATCTTGAAATTTACTCTCTTAGGCCTCCCTGGTGGCTCAAGGGGGTAGGTCACAACCTATGAGGCCGTCTGCAGCCACTGCAGCACAGGTTCCATCCCCCACCAGCCAGGGAGCAACCCACATGGTGCAGCAGGCCTCGCTTGACTCGCCCGATGCTCCCCTCAGCAGTGTACTTCTGTCAATCTGCCTGTTGTGTTCCCTGCTCTGTCTCTGGTGAATCCTCTCACCCCCTGTGCCTCTGGCCTATCCCCCAGTTCTTGTATGCGTAAAAAATAAATCTTAAAAAACAAAAAAAAAAAAGGAAATTAACTCTCTTACTTTGGGTATAGAAAATAATGGTAGAGATGGCCAATAAAACATCCTTCTTCCAACTGAGACAAAATAAAAGAATTCCGTCTACTAAACAGGATTTGCACCTTCTGCTTATTTGGAACACAATCCAGTCGTGAGTTGATCTATCAGGGACCTCTCCTGTCTCCCCTGCTGCTCCCTTCAACAGTGTATTTCAGTAGATCCTCCTGTTCTGCTCCCCACTCTGTCTCTGGTGAATCCTCTCACAGCCGTACCTCTGGCCTGCACCCCAGTTCTTGTATGCATAAATAAATAATCTTTTTAAAAATTCATGCTTTTTTTGATCCTTTAACTTAGATGTTATTCTGATGAATAGAACTAGTTCTAAGGCAATGGATTCTAGGGAAATAGTTCCTTCCTTTTGGGAATGCACTTGGCATTAGTGCCATGAGATGCACATTCTGAATATTTGTGTGGTGACCTGCCCTCTTGCCGTCTGGCCTCACAGTCTAGCATTTTTGGTTCAGTGGAGCTCTGATAGAAGTGAAACACTCTGACATTACTTGCTTCTACATAGTTTATATGTGATAAGTCTTGGCCAATCCCTGTTAAGGCCTTCACCATTCTTATTGTTCCTCAAGCTGTGACTTTATCACACCATCACCTAGGAGATGAGAGAATTGAGGTAGAGAATTCCATGTCTTCTTTCATAACTCAATGGCAGAGGTTGAAGCAGGGGTCAGTTTATTCTCAAAAGATTTTCCTTGGTTCTATGTCCTGTTTGCTATACCTTTTGTATTTTTTCTCTTTGGCATGATCGCTCCCTATTTACTTGACATAGACCAAAATATAAAGAAATGTAAGTGCTCAGTTTTGTTAAGGGAAACTGTAATGAGGGAATGTGTGGACAGGGGGGAGAAGGTATCCATTATAATGTAGAGTACTTTGGGAGGAATGACTACTTTTCTCTCATCTCCCATGTCTCAGTGACCTAGGGCTTTACAATCTTACAAATCAAAATCTTACATATGATAGAAGTAGCTGGCAGAGAGAAGTCGGGACTTGGCTAGAATCTCTATGGAATATGAGGAAATGTCTGGGGCCCTGTCTGAGCAGAAGTTGACGCCAAGCTGTAAGGATCTAGGAACCCCATGGAACCTGGGAACATATGTAGTTTCTGGAACAAAGTCTCTGAAACAGCATGCTTTGTCTCAGTCTTGATCAGATGCAGGTCTTCTCTGCAAAGTGTTATGCATAAAGCTAAAGAAAACAATCAAATAAAGATGGACCATCCAGGAAGGTCAGGTAAGTATTGTCTGACCTTCAACCCTGGGTCATACACTGACAGACAGCTCTGGTTACTTATGATCATACACTCAGTCTTATGGTCATATACTGACAGTTCTTGTTACTTCCATGGTCCACGTGCTAGATAGCTGAGAAATCCCATACTCAAATCTGGTCTTTGGGAGATAATTCCCTCTAAGTTTTCTCTTTAGGGGGGATATTTTTCAAACAGAAATTTTGTTCTGAGCCCTCATTGAGCCATAACCCCAGAATAAACACAACTTTATTATCCAGAACTTGTGTAGGTGGGAAAGTTTCTCTTTTTTCATCTATACTTGTGATGCTTCTATTCCTATCAAGGGTCCCCCTCTAGGGACTCAGTCACTAAGTTACCATTTTTTCATTATAGACAATGAGTAATAAGGTGATTTTTCTCTAGGCATTTGTTATAAAGTTGCCTCCTTGATAGAGTAAGAGCAGAGGTACTTTGTGGAGATGAGATGATCCTACAAACAGCCAGGAGAGCATGGAGGAACTCCCATTGTATGACACCTATTTTCAAGGTTGGAATTATCTATATAGATATTCTGAGAAGCAGGCAAAGTCACAAAGCAAAGGTTGGCCTTTCTCTGATGAATGAATATTTTGAAGCTGTGTTTTCTTCCCATTCCTTGTCTATTCATCTTGTGAAACAAACTGTGACAAGTATTTCCTAGACTCTGGGTCAAGACTATGTCTTGATAGGATATCCTCAGGGGTTTTGATGATGTGCAGAAATATTCACAATCTGCATGTCTCCCATTGCTTCTGCTGTGGAAGAGGAGGGTTGTGGTTCTGCAGATCACCAGTATGCTCAAGCAATCTTCTCTTTCAGGTTGTCCCCTGGAGGTACTGAGGAGAGAAGTGCTGAGAGGGAAGGAAGTTGGAATGGACAAAGATCTCTCACTACTGGTGAGAATGGAAAGAGACCCCCAGTGTTCCCAGGCTGAGATCTGCACTCCAGGGTCATTAGTGTGAGCCTGTAAGAATCACATGTGATGTTCTCTCAGACAGGAGAGTGCATCTGAGATCCTCCAATCTATGTTTATTCTGAAAAAATAAATAAATAAGACTCTCAAAAAAAGCTGAGTCACTAGAAATTTTTATTTTTGCTGCACTTATAACTTAAGCTTTGCTTTTAGTCAATTCAAATCTCAATTTTTTTTTAATCTTCCAGGTAAAATCCTAGACATATAACTCAAATATTCTTATTCTCCTAAAACAACATGTACAGTCGTTCTTACAGGAGATGAAAAGCTCATGGTCCTTATAAGACTATCAGACTGAAACTCTGTTAGGCAGTATCAGACTAAAATTAATTACATGAACTAAAGGAAACCACTTACCCCAGCCCACAGCTTAGCCCTTCCTCTCTCCACCCAAGATGATTACAGGGAGCTCATCTGAGTATTCTGAAATGTTGTCTGTCCAGACTGCACTGTTTTCTTATGTAAATGCCATCGTCCTCGCCCATCTAGGAATATGGTTTGATGGAGGATAAGAACAGAAAAGTTGGAAAGGAGGCACCACAAGACCTCAAATCTGGCTCACACAACGCCAGGAGCTGGAGGTCAGGGTAGAAATGATTAACATAGTCATTAAACCAGGTATAGGAACTGAAAATCCTTAGGCGCCAAGGCACAGACCCAAGAAAAAGTTGTCAGATGCTGGTAGTGTCGTAGGGTGCAGAGTAAAGGCGAAGATAAGGGAGATTGAAGGCCATTGTAGATTCTCTGGTCCCTTTCAAGTTCTACAAACTTATTCAAAATCAACAGCAAATGGGCCCCTACACAAAGGAATGAGCCCCTCCCAGAGAGTGGAAAACTACATCAGTGCAGTCTCTGCTCTGGGGTGATGTGTGGGGGTGCACAGCAGTCCTTCTGGCCGCCTGTGACTATGCAGGTGCTTTTTTCTGCCAATTCTTTCCCTCCACAGGGCAGCAGTCTTCCTGCCTGCCTGTGACCTGTACCAGCCAGGGGCTTCTCTTCTCTGACCTCCCTCATGCAGGACTCTCTTAGCAAACCTGTCCCCTTCAGAGCAGCCCTTTCTGCCCCTTTGTGTCTAAACAAGTGTCCTTTAGACTCTCCCTTTTATAATAAACCTGCCCTTTTGGATATCTAACACCTCTGTGTCGTGGAGAAACTTGCCAGGGAAACTTGCCAGTGCCACTCGCCGGTGCCACTGAAAGGGGAGTTCTGGTGAAACTTTTCCCAAAGTAAAAAACCCAAGAACTCCACTCTCTGAACCCAACAACTCCAAAAGCAATTTCAGTTTCATAGAGATAGATATATAGGGAAGGATTGCCATGGATTTTATTTTTCTACCCAAAGTTTCATTCATTTTTTTTTACTATCAACTGAAACTAATTTTTACCTCTTCTCTCCCATATCAGGTTTTCTTTTCATGAAGTTCCTGCAAATAATTCTCCATCTGCACCTAGCCCATATACCTGTTTACCTGTTTCCTTCTTCTCTACTCGCATCTCTTAAGCTAATGCAGCATCTTTATCACGATGGGTCATTAAGGGATCTGAGTGGAATCTTCTAGTTGAAGAGGTGTATAAAGGACTAGAGAGGGAGAGAGAAAGAGGTAAAGAATAGAAAGAGGAAGAGAGGGACAAAATGAGGGCTGGGGCGGGGGAAGAGGGTGTGAGAGGGCAGGAGAGGGAAAAAGGAGAGGAAAGAATAGAAGGTAGGTTTGTGGAACCAAGCATAAGTATTCTTAGCCATTGCTTTGTCATTTTGTGTATAACTGCCCTTTTAGAATTTTAGGTTTTGCTGTCCGGGAAAGACTGCATTCCAGAGATAGTTTCGACAGTTTCGACCCTCACTCCACCCTTGCCCTCGGTCACCAATGAGGGCTCACTTGCTGTAATTGGAGCTGCAGGCTGGAGCTGCATCTGGGCCAGGCCAGTCAGCTTAGAATGACAGCCAGGCAAAGTTGGAGAACGCATGCTTGTAGCCAATGAGTAACTGCCAGCAAAATTTAACCTTATTAAAAGACCCCCGCTTCCTTTGTTCGGGGCTCTTGGTATCTGCCACTGCGTTGGTAGGTGCCGTGAGCCCGGACTCGAGTCTGCAATAAACTCCCTTTTGTGTTTGCATCAGCTGTCTTTGGGTTCTTGGAGGCTATGCTTGCCGAGTCTGCTGACCTTGGGCACAACAGGTTGTTTTGGCGTGAAAGTAGAAATGTACAGAAAAGTCTAGTGACTTGTCAGAATAGTTAGAGAAAGGATGTCTGCATTGACTGGAAATTTACAATAGTCTGGAAAAATACTTCATTGTCTAATAATAATTTGGGATAAAAAATTTTGAAATCCTAATTCGCTTTGGTATTTGTAAAACTGTGTGGCTTCACTTTGCATGTTTGTTAATTATTTATTCACAGATGCTTCTGCAGTTTCTGGGAGCACTTTCTTTTTTTATTTTCCATTTTATTTTCATTATGCTTGAAAATTTTTTAATTTTATTTTAAAGTTTTGATTATTTTTAATATCTTGATTGTTTGAAAAAGGTAATTTTTCTTTTTTTTTTTTCCATCTCTGGTTTGTGCATGTCTTTCTGATCCCTACTCCCTAAGTCTTTGATTTTTACTGAGTGTCATTTCCTCTACTTTCTCTTTTTTCCCCCCATTCACCTGCCCAACAAACTTCTTACAAATATTTATTTCTTCGTGTTTTGTGACTTTGAAATGAGATAATACTCTAAGGTCTTTTTGCGCTAACCCCAAAATATAATCCTTCCCAGGATTATGTGAATTTAAGGACACCTGGGGGCACTACAAAGAGACATCAAACAGAAAACCCTTTGGGTATTTAAGCAGGAAGTGGTTTACTGCAGGAAATTATGTGCTCACAAAATCCTCATCAGGAAGTTTCAAGACCCCAAGGCAACCACTGCTAAAGGTCAAGATGCTGCAACCAAGGTTAGCAAATTTCAGAACAAATGCAAATGTCCCTGCGAAGTGAAATCTCCCATTTGTAGCAGAACGTATCACTGGTGGACAAGTCCAGAGTCGTCATGTAGGGAATTCTGGAAATGTAGTTCTGTCTCCCAGCCCCAGTGGTTCAGGAAGAACATAAAAGAAAGCAGGAATGGTAAGGAATGGATGAGCAAATACATTTGTTTGGTTGCCTAGTCAAGGCTCAGGCAACTCTCTGCTTACCTTCAGCTGAAAACCTCAGAGCAGGACTCACCACAGAGCAGGACTCCTCCAGCAACTTCTTTTCCTGTCCTTCACAGGAATTGCTCAGTGTACGGGGTCAGAAGAGTTTAACACTGGCTATGTTGTTGTTTTGGAGTTGATGGGTTTAGAGAGCGGGGTCCTTGGGTTCACTCTGGGAAAGATTTCACCAGAGCTCCCCTTTCAGTGGCACAGGGTGAGTTTCTCCATGAGACAGAGACATTAGTTATATTTAAAGAGCCGGTTTATCAGACAAGGGACAGAAAAGTAAAAGATCCTTGCATAGACACAAGCTCCCGCCCCAACCTGCATGGTTGCAGGGGGACAGCCAGAGGAGAGCCACCTCTGCTGAGGGAGGTCAGTGAAGAGAAACCCCAGCCTGGTACAGATCACGGACAAGCAGGAAGGCTGCTGCCCTGCAGAGGAGAGAGTTGATGAAAGAAAGCACCTGCATAGTCACTGGTGGGCAGGACTGCTGCCCCGTGTCAGTGCAGAGATTGCACTGATACAGACTTCTTTTCTTTGGGAGGGGCTCACTCCCTGAGAGCTGTTGGTTTGTTGTTGATTTTAGATAACTATGTAGAATCTGAAAGGGACCAGAGATTCTACAATGGGCTCAATCTCCATATCTTTACCTTTGGGTTTGTGCTACAGACACTGCCTACAGCAGTCTGATACCTGCTTGGATTTTATGCTTTGTGATCTAGGCTTTGGCCCTAAAGATCTTAGTTCCTATAGTTGGATTCAAGACTATGTTAATCCCTCTATCCCCACCTCCAGCTCTTGGCATTGTGCGAGCCAGGTTTCCGGTCTTGTGGCGCCTCCTGTCCAGTTTCTCTATTCTTATCCTCCATCTTTCACGTACTATGATGCTATCCTATTAGAAATTAATTCCAAGTATAGAAATTGTGGTCTCTCTCTATCATCTTTCTAAAAGCATGTTACAATCACTATAGCTTTCCATTCACCACACCCTCCCCCAATCTTTATTATTTAAATTCCATTTGTGAGCGAGGCTGTATTCTTGTACTGGTGGAGCTATGGTCTGATGCTTGACCCTTTGCCCAGAGTTGCTGCTAAGGACTAAGGGAGCACTTTCTAGAGACCCTCAGAGCAACCCCCTCCCTGATATTCTGCTTAATTCAGTAGTGAAAGGTTCAGAGTGGTAAAGAAAAGGGGATCAGTGAAGTAGCACCCATTGTCAGGGGAAAGCAGGTTTTTATAGGGTGGGGAGAGGGAAACCAGGCTTGTAGGTGGGGGAACTGGTTTGGTTAGGGGGAAAGGATGTTCTGAGCTAATTCTACACAGGCTTTGTGGACTGCACCCCCACTCCAGACAAAGCCATCATGACATTGGGAAAGACAAATCCCATCACCACCAAAGGGAAGGTGGCTGGGACCTGAGGGTGGAGTTAAGCAGCCAGGTTTGGTATAAAACCAGACACGTGAGCCTTGGGGTTACTCTGGCCTCCTGGCTTCATGGCTAGTAGCTCATGGCCAGCTCTCAGGATGCCATTTGGGATTCCAGATCAGCGGAATGGGTAGGACGCATTGAAGACTTTATCTCCCACTTTTCTCGCTGAGTTGTACATTTCCTCATTTCCCCTGCCCTTGTGAATAAACCTTTTATTAACCTTTTGTGTGTGCCTGCAGCGGAGTATTAAGTCCCTTTTAAGCGCATGAGTGAGGACCCACAGTCAGGCTGAGACAGGGCAAGCTAGGGTTATTAGGCAGTTTTAGGGACAGTGCAGGAGGGGACCTCTAAAAAATTCAGGAAGGCTTCAGAGATAAGGACTAGCAAGGAAATGAAACCAATTCCACTGGGAAAAACAAACATCTTAGCACTACAGATAATCTTGTTAAGGATGGTCCTGGTTTTCTTCAGATGATAAGATAAAGTGTAAAGATGCTCACCAGGAGGGTTAGACCATAAAGATAAAGATATAACAAATGGGGAAAGACAGACCTGTTAGATAAGGAATGTGAAGATCCCCCACTCAGTAGCAAATTAAGTGAGACAGCCGAGAACTGACCAGTCACAAAGAGACTGGTGGAGCTTTAGAATAATCAGGGAAAGAAGGTCTATATTCCCTGAGACACGACTCCACTTTGGCTTCCTTGCCCTCTCAGGCCTGGTTCCCTGGCCTGGGAGTCCCACTTTATTTCTGCTCTTTTTCTCCTCAATAAACTTTTTCTTCTAAACAAACTGCCTCTTCTCGCTTGCTTGCCTGAGCGTCTGCGAAGTTCCTGCTGCGGCTTCCTGAGACACCAACCCGTGGTGGGTCTAGCGGCTGGGGCTCAGCGCTGCCCTGCAGCCTGGAATCTGTTCCTGGCTGGGAGACTAGGCCTGACAATTCCGGAATCAAGGCAACCCGTTTTATATCGGGGCTGCCCTGTAACAGTTTGACGAGGAGCAGAGTTGTTTTCTGATGGTATCACGAGGCCCTCATTCTCACCCCTAGGTGGGCTTCCTCATTTTTGCCCCTAGGTGGGCTTCCTCATTCTCGCCTGCATGGACCTTTCAAGTAGACATTGTTTATATAAAGAAAATAAACTGTCCCTTCCCCCTCATACACATGACTATGATTCAGATTCCTAACACTAATAAGTATGACTAGACAGAGAATTCAGAGCTTTTAGGGAGGCCTATGGACTTTCTTTTCAGGAACACTTGATCTTTCCTCATCTTCTCATTTAAATATCTTTTTCTTTAAACAAAGCTGGCTTTAACACTGGGGAGTCTGAGGAGACAGGCTCTTTCCTTCCTTCGAATGAAATTATGATTCCAGTGCAGGAACACATTCATTCTGAATATCTGTGTGTGAATCTTCTCTCTTCCTATTGAAGCTAGTGACTTGAGGGGGGAGGGGGGAAAATTGAAGTTTTTGTAGAAATGAAATTACTTAATTTGACTCAATGCTCTCTTGATGCCGGCGTGTGTAACAACTGCTGCTGCTTTACCACGAGTTCTTGTCTCGCGAAACCGTAGAAAGGATTTCACAGACCTTTTGAAGTAAGTAAGCAGAGAAAGACAAATCTTGTCTTTGAAAGAAGAGTTTATTTAGGAAGAAAAGAGACAAAGAAGAAAGACTCCCAGGTATAAGGTACCTGGGAGGGGCCAAGATGAGCCGGTACGGGATATTACGTTGGCAATGTATACTTTCTCTCCCTCATTATGTTTAAATTTTACTCTCTCTCTCCCTGATTGGTTAACACCCAGAGGGTCTCACACTTACTAAGTGGGGGGAATTTCACATTCCTTATCTAACAGCTTTCCCTTTCCCCATTTGCCATGCTTGTCACTTTATCTTTATGGCCTAGTCCTCTGGGTGAGCAACTCTACACTTTATCTTTATGGCCTAGTCCTCCGGGTGAGCATCTCTACATTGAAGTTAAGCAGCTGCCCTTCTAAGTTGTCCATAATTAAACCACTCTCCATTTCTCCAATCTCTGCCACACTTTACCACCTGAAGGAAACCAGGACCAGCATTAACAATGTTGTCCTTGGTCCTGAGATGTTTGTTTTTCCAAGTGGAATTGGTTACATTCCCTTGGTTGTCCTTATCTCTGAAGCCTCCCTTAATTCTTCAGAGGTCCCCTCCTGCACTGTCCCTAAAACTGCCTAATTTCTAGCTTGCCCTGTGTCTCACTCTTAATGGTCTATATACAAGGACGCTTGGCCAATCCCCACTGAGATCTTCACTACTCCCATTGTTTCTGAAAAGGTGACATCATCACTCTGATCACTTAGGTCACAGAGCTTGGACAGAGAATTCCTTTATCCACATTGGCATCTTCACCTGTGGGTTTCAATCAGGCACCAGCTTACATCTCAATCTGGCCTTTTGGCTGTACGTCCTCCTTGCAATCGCCATCCTTTTCATCATTTTTTTCTCATGTTTTCCCTTCTTCAGGGAGGTTAATAAGCAATGTAAGTGTCAATGTGGAATATGTATGCATGGAAAGAGGAGAAGAGGTCTATGACAATGTCAGGTACTTGAAAAACATGTTCCTTATGACATCATTCCTTTTCTCTGGGATTTAAGGCCTTTTGACGACACCGGCCTTAAAATTCTTAGAAATCATTCCTGATATACCTATAGAACATGAAGAAGTATTTGGGACTCTGACTGAGCTAAGATGAATGCCCAGGTATAAGGATATGGGGAACCCCTATAGAATCTGATCATTGTCAATTTTCCAGTTATTTGTCACTAACCCAGGAAACTCTTAGTCCTGCTCAGGTGCAGATCTTTTCTGATTAATGGTGTGCATAAGGATAAAGATGAAACTATTATAAAGATGGACCTTCTAGCAGGACCAGGTAAGTAATCTCTGCCTTACACCTTTTGTTTTCCTGGCCATAAGCTGGCAGCGTTAGTCAATTCGACAGTCCAGACACTAGTCTGAGGCATCTGGCACAGATCTTATGTGAGAGACACAGAGCCCTCCTGTTCTGCCCAAGATCTCTGCTTTCTTTCAGCTGAGACCTCTGTCCCTGGTCCCTGAGAAGAACGTTTAATTCTGAGCTCACATTAACTCCTGTGGGTGGGAAGTGTTCTCCTTTGTGTCTGTTTCTATGGTTCTCTTCCTATTACAGTTCTCTTTCAGCTGACTCAGGGATGACATTTCCATATTTCATGTTAGAAAATGAAAGGGAGGGTGACTTTGAACTTTTCCAGGCAGATTTTGAAATAGGAATAAGGAGGTAGGGATTCTATCAGCTGTGGAGATGAGCCCCTCAGGGAATAATCGAAAGTCCAGTTTCCTGGGGGAACATTCTGTCCACCTGCTGATCATAAGTCCAGAGACTGACTGTGTGAGACTATATATGCATCTTCAGGGAAGGTCAGCTCTTCCCTCTTTTATGCTGCTCTATGACTCCTCTATGACCTCACAGAAGACAACACCAGAGTCTTCAGTTCTGTGCCCACCATTTTGCTTTCTCAATGAAGAATGTTGTGTCCTATAGGTACTCTTGGCCAGGCTTCTCTCACACAAAATTGAAATACCTGGTCTGTAAAAGGTTATTGTGTTGCTAAGAGGTAGGTAAAATACGTGGAAAATAAATTTCTGGCTGTGTAAATATTTAGATTTAGGAAAGCTTTCTGTTTATTGACTCAGGGGAAGAATAGTACTGTGCATTTGCATTTGTCACATCCCCACCATAACCAAGTATACGGTGGTTTTACAACGCCCGCCAAGCCTACCCCAACACTGCCATTATATAAGTGAGAGTATATTATTTATGATGAGAATATATAACTTATTGTATCTGGAAAAATTAACTGTCCCAGTGTAACTCTCATCATTTGTAAATTTGTCTCCACTTTTCCAATTCTTTATCCCCTTCTGATCCACTTCTTGATCGCTCTGTTACTCTTCCTTAGACCCCTAAAACCCAAAATCAGAGCAACAATGCCTCAGGGAGTGATTTCAAAGGGCTCCAATGGGTGACTGTGTCTGAAACTTTTCCCTTAAGAATCTCTTTAACTGCGTGGGTAAGTTGAGAGTTGCATGGTTTCGGGTCATTTTTACTCTTGGAAAACAAGTAATTCCCCCTATTTGAGGATAAACTAATGAGGCTGGGGTTATTCATATAAGGGTTTTGGTAAATCATGACACAGCCACAGAACAAAGCCTTCATCTATCATCTAAGAATAGGGGTCTGGAGCTGGGTCTTCCTACATTCCATTCCCTGTGAATTTCATATTTTGCACAATGATATGTTCCAGTCTTCACCCTTGTTAATTATATAGACAGAGAAATAGTTCTGTATACATTTGTTATCTGACAATAATCTCCTGTGATAAGTGTTTGCCAGATTATAGCCCATGACCCACAGGTCCTATCCTGACAAAAATTTCTGAGTTATTTGATTGCCTGAGATAGTTGAAATCCAAGTATCTTAAAACTATTTTTGCCTCAATTGGGTTCTGTCATTTTGCTATAAAACCATAACTAAGAAGTGTTCTTTCTTTTCAGGTCACCTTCTTCAGTCTCCTGGGAGAGAAGCTCTGAGAGGAGAGGAAATTGGGCTGAGTGAAGATCACTCACCTCTTGTGAAGGTGATGGGGAAGGGAACCCAGGAAGTCTGCCCAATAACTTCAGTTTGAGAATGACCGAATATTAGGAATCCCCTGCGAATCCCCTGTGCTGTCATGTCTCAGACAGGAGAGGGCTTCCAAGACCCTCCTTATCTGTTTATACTGAAATTAAATTGATAGTAAATACTTTGATGTTCTCCAAAGAGTGCCATGTTGATTCCCAATGCCGGCTTCAGTTTCCCTCAGCCAATAAAAGGAAACAGAGTGTTAGGAGAAGGAAAGTGGTTTAATTTGTTGACAAATGAGGAGGGCAGCAGATCTGTATCTGAAAGACAGCCTCCCTGCTGTTTGGCAGAGTGCAGGATTATTTATAAAAAGGGAAAAAAGGGGGAGATGGGCAAGGATCTGCAAAGGGGAGAGGGAATGGGCCCTCAAGTCCTTTTGATGCAGGCAAAATTTCTGAGATTTTGGGTAGGCTCCAGCTTGTTTTGCTAACAACTGCTGTTTAACTACCTTTTCCTTGGAATGCAAGAAGACAAAGCTGTTAAACAAGGGGAGAAAGTGCAAGAGAGGGGGGACGACAAACTTGTTAATGCTTATCTGAGAGGCCAGTCATTTGTAACTGCTAAAGTTCATCGTTATTATCTGCTGAACAGCAATCCTCTTTCATCCAACTTGTTTGGTGAGTCAATATCCCAAACACACTTCTGTTGTCCAGGTGAAGTCTTGGGTGAGTGAGCTGTGTTATTTCCTCTCCCAAGGGAATACCTGATTGCACGCTAATGAAAAGAGATGCTCATGGTTTGAACAGAAAAGGCAGATGCTGGGTGAGATGGGGCTTCAGTTTGTGGGAACCCACTGAAGCTGGTGCTGTGTAAAAGGATTGGTGTGGTAAAGAAAAGGAAAAAAGCCAGACTAAGTTTCTCACAGGCAGAAATTTATTGCGCTCCTGGGTGAGGTTCACTGACCCCCATGGGGGTCAGAGAAGTCACACCCGTTGGGGGATAAGGGCAAGCTTTTATAGGGCAGGGTCTGGCCTTGGAGGGAAATGGAGAATGCGGAGTCGAAGTTGCTTTTCAAAGAAGTTTCTTCTCTCAGAACTGGTTGTTCTTTCAACACTGCTTATCAGGGTGCGTGCAAATTGGGCAGAGCCACCTCCCGGGATGCAGGTGGCAGCAATTTCAAGATCCACCCCCCTCTACCCCATCTCTGCCCTGGCCTCAACCTTACACTGTGCCAGCCACCTTGGGCTGCTGGAGCAGGCTGGTGCCAGAATCAAATGGGACCTGGGTTCACAGGAACCTGCTGGAGTCCTGATGCCCCAGGAGCCACCTGGCGCTGCAGGAAGACGTAGGTCCTGGGGTGAGACAAGCCCTGGGTGGGTTGTGCAGGTTGCCTGGGGCCCTATGCAAGCAGTCTGGGTCTCGTGTAGGCAGACCCTTGAGGGATGGGTTTGTGGAAGCAGGCAAGGAAGAGTGGCCACCAGGTCCCCCCACACTGGGGCTGCTGGAGTCTGAGGTACCAAGGGTAAGCCATTGTCTGAGTTCAGAGGTGTCCTCTGGGGACTTGGTGCCAAGGACACCACTTGGGGCTGCTGAGCCATAGGATGGGCCTGGGTGGCCAGAGCCTGCAGGGAGTCACCCAGGGTTGGGGGATTCCTTCTGATGCTGGGATGTGAGGGCTCTGGAACCAGTGGTGAAGTTGGCACTCCCTTCAAACTCTCTTTCTCCCAAGAGGAAGGAAAGCATCAGCCATACTGGCTGTCCTAGTTGGGGAAGGTGTGATGGGGAAATGTGAGACTCTTTTTCCTATCCTCTTCAATGTGTCCTTCTTTGCGTCCTTTGCCCTAGGGTTGTAATCCCTCACCTGTACTCCTAGCATTTGTGAAGGTATTTGCATCTGCAGGTAGTTGTTTAAAAGATGTTTCTAGAGGGGTCAAGCCTTTCCACTTACTCAAACCCTTCACAATAGCCTCTCCCTTGAGTCACTTTGTTCCCCAGGGCTTGAATGACAGCCCCATACCAAAAGAGAGGGTGGGGAGCAAAGGGGAGACACCCAATGGTCTGGTGGAGGATTATGGGTGTTTTGGTGGTGGGCATGGTATGGTAACATATGTTCATAGAGGTGTGAACCTAAACCTCTAAAACACATGCAGTGCTGTAAACCAACATCACCTCAATAAACAACCTTTATTATTATAATTTTTTTAAAAGCAGAGGCTCATTTCCCTTGCTCTGTATTCATCAACCCATATAGGTCCAGTTCCCTAGCCTAGCACTTCCTCTCCCACCCCACCCCCACTCTGTAGCCAGAGCAGAGCCATAGCCAAGTTGCAGACACCCCACTTCCACTTATCCAGGTCCAGGAATAATCACACACTAGATCCCTGGAGCCCTTGTCAAATGTCCACTCTCTCAGAGCACTTGCTCTCCCAAGTGCTCAAATGACAGTCCATGGAACACCTCTCTATGTCCAAGAAAACACTATCTCTGACTCTGACCTTATCTAGAAAGCATGAAAATGGCTGCTATTAATCCTGAAGTGGTTGTGGGTGAAACGACCTGCAAATAGTATGCATGCCCTGGATGCAGTGGGGAGGTGAGTTCCAGATTACAGGGTAATCTGTAGAGATAAGTCTTCACACATGCCTGATGTTTGTCCTGGTCGTGATCAAGGGGAGAAGCATCTTCAATGTGGCCAAAACTAAGTGTGCATTTTCTGCCATTGGATGGATGAAGACAAAATATATTGATTTCAGTTTCTAAATTCATTGTGCTGTCATCTGACCCAAGCCTCCTCTACAGCCCCTCACTTTTTCATAATTGCCTCAAAGATTTCTTTGACTTGGGTCAGATCTATAGGGCTTTTGTTCTTTTGAATTAACAGTCTGTTCACTCCCCTGCATGCAAAGTGCGTGCTGTGTTCTCTTGTCCAATGAAAGACTCTTGGTACTAGTGATTATATGTAAATGCAGGATAAGTTTAACTGTCCACCTCCATGCCCAGCTGTCTTTGCACTGCATGGGCTTCATGCAGGGCACAGCGGTCACCACACACACACACTGCCCCAGGACCCCTGGTGAAGGGTTTCCACTCTGCCAGCGCAGCCACCTGCCTAGTCTACCTAAACAAAGCCATTTGCCTTCTAAGGGGAGGAAATCCAGTTAATAGGTGGCATTTTTTTTTCCAATTGGAAAGCACTTCCCAGGACTGAGCAGATGAAATCACCATCTGGGACTGCAAACACAGATGAGTCAGATAAATTTGCAGAATATGGAGACAATGGCAGGCTGGTTTCCTGTTGGCAAGGGCAAGGGCAAAGTTTTTGATTGAAAGGCATTGTGGGTCTGATGATCCTAAGCGGCCTGTTCAGCCACCATTTTTGTTACCTACGGTTCTGAATTCCTATACAAGGTCAGAACTGGCCTGTTAATCAGTTTTAAGTACCCACCCTACAAGGTAGCTTTCAAATCAATCAAGAGCAGAAAGCTTGATCACCCTGGGTCTGGTATGCATCGCGAGGTATAACTGGGAATGCCTATGGGGGCCGCTGACTGAGGAATGACCAGGGACCCCAGAAGCTGATCAGTGGAATGCCTTGGGAAAGCCACCTCCCCACTTATGGGGAGCCATGCTACTCATGTCGTCCAACAAAGGTCCAGGCATGGGGCAGATTCCTGAAAAGTCAGGTATCTCGTTAGCTGACTCCTGCTAGGTTCTCCTCATTTGTTTATGGCTAGTTTCTACCATTGCAAATATATGTATCTAAAAGTAATACTTCAAACACCGATCAATTACTACATAACCAATTTGATGACAAATGGCACTGCATGATACAAATATTACGTTTTTTATAAAATTAGTAGTCCTATGCTAAAAGGCAGTAATTCAACATTTGGCCTTACATTAACAAGTGAAAAAACTTCTAGGAACAAAAGGCTGTAAACATCCCTCTGCCTAGTCTTTTAGTATGGAGATGTGGCCTTTAAGGCAAAGGCTCCTTGGAGAAGGAAATTCTTTTACCTTAAGGTTAGTAATAACAGTTAAGTGTCAGAGGTGAACCAGGCTTCTAGTGTGAGAAAACTGATAAGCCAGGAGGCGCCATAGTCAACCCCTGTTAAATTATTCCTGTTTATCTAGGACCAGTTCCCAAGGATGTAGCAATTAGTATGGTAGCTGTTAGAGTAAACATTTAAGAATAAATCAATAGCAGTTTTGTGACTGATTGAGCCAGCTATAGCCATCTTTGGCCATGCCTCTAATGAAATATTTGTAATTCCTTATAACTACAAACAACAATCAGCAATTTTACAGAGAAAGGAATTTTCCCTTGATCATAAAGTTAGATATGAAAACTAGGCTTGTAACAGGGTGGTCCCCAGGAAAGGGGGAGGTTCCCTGCCCCACCCAAGGGAGGGTGGAGCTGAGCAGGAAGAAGAGAAGCTGCAGAAGAGACTGAGGAAAGAAGCAGGATGGAGCCAGGAGACCTGGAGGAGGCGCATGGAGCCTAGAGACACGTGAAGAAACTGCGCTTGTCTTTTGGTCGTGGACTGGGTGACACAGATGTGGGTGAGACCCGTGGGGAGGTGACCATGGCAGCTTTTATCTTGATGTTGATTTTGCTCTTTTCCTTCCGGGTTTGTCCGGTTCTTTGTGACCCTTTTCTGTGGGTCCCCACTGGAAGATGCTTTAGACTTGTAGCAGGCTTTGGGGCCTTGTTCTGGGCCAATCCCATTTGAATGGACTTTTACCCACGAGGGGACGGGTAACTCTGGATGCTTCATTTATTTTTTATTTTTTTTTTTAAGGCACTTTTTTTTTTTATAGAGGCATGTTTTTTATTTATTTGTTTGTTTGTTTTCTTGTTTATACATGCACTGGGTACAGTCAGAAGCGCGGGAGGGTGAGAGACTTCACCAGAGCCAGAGCGGGGAGCAGAGCAGGCAGAAGGACCGAAGTACACTGCTGAGGGGAGCAGCGGGCGGCAGGAGAGGTCTGCGCGCCATGTGGGACCCTCCTCTGGTGGCCGGGGAGCAGCCGGGGATTGAACCGGTGCTGCAGAGGCTGCGGGTAGCTTTGCAACCCAGCGCTCAACCGCTGTGCCACCGGGGAGGCCTGGATGCTTCATTTAGAAACTAGACTCTTTGCCTTACCTGTATTGTTTCCTAGTTTTATTAAAGTTCCTTCCCATTAAAGTCTCCT